TTAATGTTGATTAAAAGGTGAGCCTATTTTGAAAACAGTATGGTTTGATAGTTAAGAATGTTTATTATTACAAGTTGTTTTAGTAACCAAATCCCCAAAAGTACCTTTAGCTGTCAAATAAATGGAGAAAAAGGCACAATATTTCTACTACAGCATAAAGTGTAATATAGAACTTCATTTTTCCATCACTGGTTACGGAATTATTACATCGTATTTTAGTCCAAACTGCCTGAGGATTATTTCCCGGCATCCAAAGGTTGTATTTTGAATGATGCTTCCATGTCACATCAGGAGGGTTTATTTCCTTCGTTACAGCCTCAGTGTGACAGTCTTATTCCTGAGAAGGTGCAGAAAAAATATAAAAGTTTTGTCACCATACCACTTTTACATGTATACATCCTAACAAGGTAGGATAATAACTACTACTAATAAATGTAAAAAAACGATGTAATTCCACAGAATGCTCGTGAAAACATTTGACTGACATTTGCTGTGTTGATGCCGTCATGTTGTGTTGATGCCGTCATGTTGTAATCCAACACCCTGACCAGAGGTGCCACATTTCCAGAGAAGCTGACTGGTGCGTGATGTGTTGATGGCATGAATAATCAGTACCCTTCCTGGGTGAATTAGAGTTTAAGGGTAGAAGTGTAAGGTTACACGCTTAATTATAAACCATCCTTCTATTACATTTCATTAATTTTAATAATTATTACATGAGTAATTGTTTGCTGATTGATGCCCAATAACCTTGAGCGACTCTTAGCTATTGTTGTTCACGTTGAGGAATACGTTTGGGAATTACAGTATATTCAAATGTAATATCATTTGTTGTTATGTAACTAAAAGCACAGCACCACCTTTTGGAAAGCAAACAGCAGTTCATGACCAAAACAGAAGAGGAGAGGTAAGTAAAGGAAACACAGGAAAAAGCCTCAAAAGTAATTGCAAAGGAAATACGTTTTGTTTATTTAGCGAGCTGGGGTCGTCGTGGCGCAGGGGGTGGAGCGAGTCCCGGCTGCCCCATGTCTCAAGTCGAAGTGTCCCTGAGCAAGACACCTAACCCCTAATTGCTCCCTGGGCAAAAATGTAAAAAGCCATGGGTTTAAAGTGTAATGTAAGTCGCTTTGGATAAAAGCGTCTGCTAAATGACCTGTAATGTAATGTAATGTAAACAGCATTGATAGAAAACAGCATTTTAAGTAGTTTTCTAGTTTTTGCAACTAAACCACGAGGCCAACATGATTTGAAACGGGTGAGACAAAACAAAAAGGACGGATGATATGGAATATAAAAGCACATTCCTGAGTCCTAGCTGATTCTCTTATCTGTCTCATTTGTTCAGCTTCAGGGGGGGTCATGAGGGACTTTCCGGAGTCACTAACTTTGATGTGTTAAAAGCAAAGGGAGTCAGTTAATCTTTAGACAGCTGCAGAAAGAACTGAGGTTGAAGAAATAACACAGAATTGCGACAGGCATGAGTTGAGTATTGAAACCCAGAGTTACAAATGTGAGCAACTATGTTCCCGTAGCTTCCAAAAATACGGAATTTGTGCAATGGGTCAAAATTAGAATGACTTAATTGCAAAAAATAACTGTGTCTTTTGTTGCTTTTCCAAAAGGGCAACACTCTCAGTACACAATATACACTCTAAAAGGGTAAACAGCTCCGTGAATCAAAAAGCAGGAATCCCAGGCTGACAATCATTGCTGAGAGTCCATCTAGCTGCACCGACTGCGATCCAGAGAGAGGAATCCCTGTGTGAGTGAGAAGATGACACAACTCATTGAACTGGACTTAATATGTAACTCGACGCTGATGTGATAGCAGACACACGACGAGTAGAGAGTTGTTTGGTACCTAAAACTTCCACCAACTTGGTGGCCTCAGACGAGCGTCCAGCAGCTGCGTTTTCCGCAACACAGGTGAAGTTTTGGGAAGTACCCGGTATGGACGGGGTCCACCTGAGCTCATTTTCATGGACTGAAAAGAAGCTGCCGATGGGGAAACCCTGTCTGAACTGCCATCTGACCGTACAATCCACGTTTAAAGTACAGCTCGTCAAGCAGGTGAATTTACTCAATCTGCCAGGAAAGACAGCGTCGGGTCCGCTGATGCTCACGTTCCAAGGATCAACTACAAGAAGGAAATGAAGTTCAGTCCAGCATGTGAATAACAGGGCAACAATTCTTGAAACTATTCTTGACCTAATGACAACTTACAGCTGAGTAGAAAACCCAGGCTGAAAACTCTCGGCGCACGAGTCTCACACAGGTAGAATCCAGCATCAGCAGGCAGCGGCGAGTCAAAGTGAAGTGTCAGGTTGTTTTGCAGCAGCTGCATGTTTTCCTGCAGAGTCAGCCTCCGTCCATCTTTGTACCAGATCACCTGGTTCACCAGCGGGGAAGAGTCACCTGCTGGAGCACCACGGCAGGTCAGATCCAGCGGGTGGTTGAAAGACGGGACAGCGGTTGGTGGACTGATTTGAACAGACACTCGATCTGTAAAAGAGGACATTAGAAGACAATTTTAAAATCGAAAAAATAGTAAGAAGTAGCTGCATTAAATAATGCATTTAATGTGTGTCACTCAAACTCTTTTGGGCCATACACTAATAGAGTAACTAATTTGTTTGAAGGTACTGGATTCAGGGCATTAATATAAAAGCAAGTTGCTTTTCTTGCCGCAAAGCTAACAAACTGTTGTTCTTTATTTTGAGAGGCAATAGAAATGCTTCCAACTTTATACAAGTCTCCTTTTGTCCAGTGGCCCATGAAAGGTCCTAAGAAAAAACCTGAGCGGCAATAAGACGCTGAACCAGAAAAGTTATAATTTCTTTCATAAAGAAGCATTAAATGGTTATATGTATATTAAACTACCTCAAAACTGTTCTTAAGTACAGTACTTTAGGTATTAATAGTTCCTTTCCTTCTCGGCACATGAGATTGCTTACTGTTAATTTCTACAATGGAGGTAACACTGCCTGAGGCTCCTGTTTCCGGATTGAGCACGTTGCATTGTAATTCCACTGTGTTGTCCAGCCCATCTGGCGTCCAGGTCAATTTGCTCCCCTGGACTGTGTGGCCCTCAAAGGACCAGGTGTAGATGCAGTTTGGCTGGCATGAAGAGGAACATGTGAACGTGGTCGTGACCCCAGCCGTGACCTGACCGGTCCAGGAAATCTGTTCCCGGGCCTCCAAACCTGATGCACCTGAGGAGAGAGGAGTCGGTAACCTCTAACCCCTTACACAATTTACAACTGTAATAATAACACATTAAACTGTTTAACCAGTCGTAAAAAAAAAATTTTTTTATGAGAACCTAGAACCTAAAATCTGCCAGTAAAGGCAGTGATCTTACCCATTAGTGCCACCAGAAAAACGCAGTGAAGACCCCTCCAGTTGGGTTTGAGAGGAGTGTTTGCCATGGCAGACTCCTCTGTGGGTTCAAAAGCGAACTACGGAGCTCCCTCCTTTAATCCTGTCACCGAGATTACTCATTACAGTCACACCCAGCATCTTGTTCAACATCAGAATTTACTCCATGACGAAATCTCTAACCAAAGGAAGTTTACTTAAACTATGCTGGGAAATCTGAAATTGCAGTACAAGAGCTGGTAAACTATGTGGTTATTTGACCTTTTTTTTAATTCAGTGGATTTGAATTAGTCTAAATCTGATGAAAAGAGTGATGAGACAAGTAGGAAAATATGTGTGAAATGTTTTTCAGCGCATTGAAAGAAACACTAGATGGCGCCGTCGCACCGAATGTCATTATTTGCCGTTCCCTAATCTTTTAAAAAGCCTACTGTGAAAGTATAAAAAAACGGCCTAAATTGTTGTGTTCTACAGCAGCATCTGCTGAGAAAGTGTTACTTTAACAATAAAGCAGCTTTACGTTGTGGTATTCTGCTCCAAACCAATTATACAATGATTCTAAACAGCAAACCGACTGCAGCAGTCGGGTCATTTCAGACTTTCAATGCACAGAATCTTCCTCAAACATTCCCACATTTATGATCCATTATTGACCTTAGAAAATTTAACTATTGTGACGTCTAATTATTTGCATGTTTTGCTGAATACGACTCAGTGTCTTCAACATGGTGTGTTTTGCATTGGCATTGGCATGTGCAAAGTCTGCAATTGTTAATATATTATAGTTTAATCATCCAAATGAGCAAAATATATATAAAAAAAACAACTGTAGTTACATTCACATGTCTCTTTCTAAGGTCAGACGTTAATCACATGTTCAGTTTGATACGCCAGTAAATGAACGTTGCAGTTAGGTTAAACAAAAAAGAATAACAAAAGAGTTGATACTACTAAATCATGATACAACACAATTCACTATACAAAATATAATTACCATTCCTCCTTAAACCACCAGTGAACATACCAAAGCTTTACCAAATATAAAACATACCAAATATTAAGTTAACGTGTTTGGTAAAACTATTTATTTGAAAAGGCAAAAATCCAAACACTAAATCAAGTGGATCACAAAAATCACATGTTTCTGAATGGATTCAAGTCAAAACCATGTGATTTTAGAGAATCTGTTTTTTTGTTAAAGATCTTTGTGTTACAGGGATGGAAGTGGGAAATGTTTAGTTTACAAATCCTTCCCTAATATGCAGCTGTAATCCAAAATGGGTGCAGCTCACATGGAGTTTCAGCTTCACCAATGAGTAACTAGTGGGGGAGGGGACATCTACCAAACAGTCATTTACTTATCAGCTAACCTTGAGATGCTTCATCGTCTTTCTGGCTTCATCTGAAGCCCTGCTCTATAAATGCACATTTACTGAGAAAAAAAGACACTTTTAATTGAATGCATTTGTTGTGGTAACGGATGAAAATGTGACCACTATTAATATACTAAATATATTAAATAACAACGTGAAAACAGTGTTGTTCGGCTCCCTTGGATTTTACCGAGCTCCATAGTGAGTTACAGCCGATTGTTCAACTGTCAACTGTTTGGATTGGATTTTGTTATTATTATTATTTTATGAGATATTTCAGACATAACTACTTTATCAACCTCAAAGTGAACCCATCAAACGCTGTTTTCTTCTTTATACAACAAAAGAAACCTTCCATGTGCAGACACACTGCCTCTATTGCCTTGAATCACAGATATGTTCAGCAACTTGTAATGTGGGATTTAAGTCTACTTCATTGAACTACTTCCCTGTTGGCTTGAGGCCTTTGTGGAAGGTATGAAGCATCATATAATTTGTTCAAAGAGCAATTTTTATTGACATGTACGGTAAGCGTAATCTAAATTACTCTGATGATCCCAGATATTTCTGACTGGAAATAGCTTCCATTTGCCTTTCGTAAGAATTACGGTCATTGTTGTTATTATTGTCCTGGATATCAAGGATATAACTGTTCAGGTGTTTTCTTTTGAATTTGATGAACTAGTGTTTCTTCTATTTCTCAAGTAGAACTGGAAAAAAAAACATATTGCATACTGCTGCAACTTTCACTACTAATTCGATTACAAATATGTATTTGTCTATTCATCTTTCAACTGTTCCTTTGAACCACCATAAACCTTTTATGTGAAGGTCATTATAGTTCACTTTCGCACAGACAAATTAACAAACTCAAGGTGTGTCAATAACCCGATAGAAACCACTGAAAGGTAAATTACATATTGTCAACAATGTTTAGTTTTTCTAAAATGCGTAATATATGTGAAAACAAATCCAAAACCCGTGTGGAATCAAGCATTGACACCAACAAACAAACAAAGAAAAGCTATTATGTCAGATGCAAACTTACAGGCGAACATTGTGGCGCCTGACATCAGTTATGGCAACGACTGTCATAACCTGGTGCAATTATTAACCACCGCTAAAGTGCATCGACATGGTAAACACAGTTCAGAATGAGTCCTCTATAAAAACTGAGAGGGGAGTGTTTCATGACCACATATCAGACGCTTGTGGCCTCCATATAACCCGTCACTTCCAGTAAGGTCAGTTCTTTTTAATCTCAGCGTAAAGCTGTGAGATGTTAGAAGGAGGCTGAGGAGCCTGGTTCTTCTTTCGCTGCAGGTGGTCATCGTAGGTGGGACGGGAGGAGGCATCTGGAGGACGGTCGTTCTCTCTGATCTGGGCATATTCTGATGCGTCAGGCTGAACCCCGAGCTGCACTGTCCCACCGTCTCTTCTATGGAAAGTAGTGATATCTGCATAGGCCAAGTCCTGGAAACAACAAAGTCAGGAAGAAAATATACAATTACATTTAGAGTTATATTGCATCAGATGAAATCTTAGCAGTAAAATGGATATCTGAGTAACAATGCCCAAAACAAGCATTAATACGAAAAGCTGAATTAAACTTTATCGAATGGATTTTATCTTGTATTCATATAATTATAAGAAACGTTGTACCTATAATTTGTCCGAGCAATATGTGCATACATTTTAGAATTACAATTAGAATCATTTTGACATTCAGTTTGAAATGTAAACCCATGCCATCATAACCTTAGGCCTTTACCAGTCAGGATTTGAGCTTAGCGAGGAAACTTAAGGGTTAACAGTCCTATAATGGTTGTTCACTTCTTGCCAGGTAGCACTGTAACTTGTGCCGCATGTGTAACCTGCTCCAGAGTAGATCAAGATAAGTGATCCACATGAAAGCAGCGCCCAATGACTAATGAAAGCTCAGTGAGCAAATACAAGTAAGTCAAAGTCAGAAACATATTTTAAACTGCTAAATACAAAAGGTAATATGCAAATCAATGTAATAATATCATAGTTCCAATTGTTAAACATTTTCCAGCTTTGATACTCAGGTTTATATCGGTTGTCTGGTAAATATTGGTTGAATTTTACCCAACTTACCGTGCATGCTTTGTTGTCCTGGCCTTCAGCTCCTTCAAATACAAGAAATAAACAATGTTTAGCATAACTTGAAGGCGTAGAATTCAGGAATTGTGGTTTACTCTTTGCGCCGCTAATTCTAGTCACGAGTTGTAAAGTGATGATTGTGAAGGATTCATGTTGATTGAGCCTATGCGTTATTTTTCGTGGTGAAATCGTGGCTTTTATTGTGTTACGAAGGACGCTCCCGCACCGCCTCCCTCTCGCCATCGGAGGGACCCCTCTCCCGAGTACTAACTGGTTTCGAACTCCATCTCCCATCATGCTTCACACCTGGGACTGATTCCACAACACCACTGATGACACACACACCTGCACCTCATTGACACACACACCTGCACCTCATTGACACACACACAAAAGCCACTGACACCCACACACTCACTGCGAAGTCCTGATTCTGCCCCGGCTGTCATTTCTGAGCGTTTTCTCCTAGTCTTGATCCCTGTTTAGTGACCCCGGACCGTACTGTTGATTGCTCTCTGCCTGCCCCGACCCCTGCCTGCCCGCTGACTACGATCCTGTCTGCTCTACGTTGCCCTGTCTGCTGTCATTGACTCTGCCTGTCTGATGCTCTAATAAAAACCTGCGAATGGATCCCTCCGAATCCGGCGTCTCCTTACAGAAGACTTCGCCCCTCACAGATCCAGCAGGCCTCGTACACCTGTCTTCGGAGCTCTCCGCTCAAGCCACCCAGCTGGCCCAGCACCACCATCAGCTACAGCGTCTGACCACCCTCACCGAGGAACTAGTGCACGCACTACACGGGCTACGGGTATCAGCAGACGCCACGCCACCGAATCCTCCTCCCAATGCCTCCCCAGCGACCGTAAACCATTCTATTAATCCTCGTCTGGCTCTTCCGGAAAAGTTTGATGGCACTGCTGTAAAATGTAGAGGCTTTCTTCACCAATGCACACTCTTCGTCGACCAACAACCCTCGATGTATCCAACGGATTCGAGTCGGATAGCTTTCATCAGCTCGCTACTCACCGGGAGGGCGTTGGAGTGGGCGACCGCCGTCTGGAGACCCGACGGGTCCGCGTTCCCCACGTTCACCAACTTCCTGCTACAGTTCCGCAACGTGTTCGAACACCCCACTGAATGCGGGGATGCCGGGGAGCAGCTGCTCGAACTGACCCAGGGGAGGAGAACCGCAGCTGAGTATTCTTTATCTTTCCGCACACTCGCTGCGCAAACCAACTGGGTCGAGGACACACTGAAGACCCTGTTTCGCAAAGGTTTGTCTGCCGAACTACAATCGGAGCTGGCCTGTCGGGACGAGGGAAGAGGGTTGGACGAATACATTAACCTGGCCATTCAAATCGACAACTTGATTCGTTCACGGCGTCCTAACCGGTATCCACCCCGGCTCACACGGGAGACCTCCGCCACACCTGAACCCATGCAACTAGGCGTCACTCGCCTCACTCAGGAGGAACGTGAACGCCGCTTGCAGAAACATCTGTGTCTCTACTGCGGACAGACCGGACACCTGCGGGCCGCCTGCCCAGTACGTCCTCCTAACGATCCCCAATCGGTGAGTGCGATCCCCAAATCTAGCACACTAAATTCCTGCTTCATTCTACCCATTCGTTTGCTGGTTCGGGGCAAAGTTATCCCAACCACAGCGCTACTGGACTCTGGGGCCGCGGGGAATTTCATGTCACGTGAGTTTGCCACTAACCACCAGTTGAGGTTTAATTCTTGTGGTTCCTCCCTCACGGTGGAGGCGCTAGACGGCCGACCGCTAGGGGAGGGGAGAGTACGACACCTCACCGAAGAGATCAACATGCACGTCGGTGCACTACATTCGGAGAGGATCAAGTTCTACGTTATCCAGGCTCGCAACCACTCTGTGATTTTGGGCCTGCCCTGGCTACGCACCCATAACCCACACATCTCCTGGAGAGAGAATCAGATCACACAATGGGACACTTCATGTCACAACCACTGCCTAACCAGGGTACCCCGTGCACCCCATCACCCTCCAGAACCCGTCAACCCCGGGTCAACAGAACAGAATCTGCCACCCGAATACGCCGACCTCGCTGAGGCCTTCTGCAAGAGGAGGGCTGCTCAACTCCCCGAACATCGTCCAATCGACTGTGCCATAGACCTACTGCCAGGCACCTCTCCCCCCAAGGGGAGAATATTCCCTCTGTCACAACCCGAGTCACAAGCGATGAGGAACTACATCGAGGAGGAATTAGCGAAGGGGTTTCTTCGACCATCAACGTCACCGGCAGCGGCCGGGTTTTTCTTCGTTAAGAAAAAGGATGGATCCCTTCGCCCCTGCATCGATTATCGTGGACTTAATGACATCACTGTCAAGTATCGATACCCTCTGCCTCTCGTCCCAGCCGCCCTAGAACAACTCCGTCAAGCCCGATACTACACCAAACTAGACCTACGCAACGCATACAACCTGATTCGCATCCGTGAGGGTGACGAGTGGAAGACGGCATTCTCCACCACTAGCGGGCACTACGAATACCTGGTCATGCCGTTCGGCCTAGCGAACAGCCCATCCGTGTTCCAGTCCTTCATGAATGACATCTTCCGTGACATGCTGGAGAAATGGGTCATCGTCTACATCGACGACATACTGGTCTACTCCACCTCCATGGAGGAACACACCCAACATGTCCGACTTGTCCTGGAAAGACTCATTCAACACCAGCTCTATGCCAAAGCAGAGAAATGCGAGTTTCACCAGACCAGAACTGCATTCTTGGGGTATATAATCAGTCAGGAGGGGGTGGCCATGGACGAGAGGAAGGTTACGGCAGTGGCGAACTGGCCAGTGCCCCACACGGTGAAGGAACTGCAACGATTCCTGGGGTTCGCGAATTTCTACCGAAGATTCATCCGAAACTTCAGCACAGTGGCTGCTCCCCTAACCACCCTGACCAAGCGCCACACGCACCGCATCAACTGGTCCCAGGAGGCACAACACGCCTTCGACGAGCTACGGTCACGGTTCACCTCAGCACCCCTCCTGCGACACCCCAACCCCGAGCTCCAATTCATAGTGGAGGTCGACGCCTCCAACACCGGAGTAGGGGCCATTCTCTCCCAGCGTCAAGGCACACCCGCCAGGATGTTCCCATGCGCCTACTTCTCTCGCAAACTAACCCCAGCCGAACGTAACTACGATGTGGGCAATCGTGAGTTACTGGCCATGAAACTGGCACTCGAGGAGTGGCGGCACTGGTTGGAGGGAGCGAACCAGCCATTCATCATTCTAACCGATCACAAGAATCTCGAATACCTTCGCTCCGCTAAACGTTTGGAACCCCGGCAAGCCAGATGGGCCCTCTTCTTCACGAGATTCCAGTTCACGGTAACCTATCGACCAGGCTCCAAGAATACGAAGGCCGACGCCCTCTCTCGCCAGACCGAGGGAGTTCCACCCACTGCAAGGGATAACATTATCCCGGAAAGCTTGCTCGTGGCGCCGGTTCAATGGGACATCATCACGGAGATCGAGCAGCTGAACCTTCGTCAAGCACCTCCCTCCGAATGTCCCGCAAATCTCCTCTTTGTCCCCGAGACGCTACGTTCACGACTCCTCGATCAGTGCACTCGACCCCAAGCTCCGGACACCCCGGTATCACCGCCACAATTCAGCTCCTCAAGAACCGCTTCTGGTGGCCCACTCTGACTCCTGACACCACCCGACACGTGCAGAACTGCGCAAACTGCGCCACCTCCAAAACCCCCAGACAATTACCAGCCGGCCTACTAACACCACTACCCATACCCCAACGACCCTGGTCCCACATTGCCATAGACTTCATCACCGACCTACCCGCATCGCAGGGACATACCACCATCCTCACCATCGTAGACCGATTCTCCAAGGCCTGCCGACTCGTCCCACTACCCAAACTTCCCACAGCACTAGCCACTGCGGAACTGCTCTGCAACCAGGTCTTCCGTTTCTACGGACTACCGGAGGACATAGTGTCAGACCGGGGACCCCAATTCACCTCCAGAGTATGGTCCGCCTTCTTCCAACGCCTCAACGTTAACGTCAGCCTCACCTCCGGTTACCACCCACAATCCAATGGGCAGACTGAGCGTCTGAACCAGGACGTTATCCGTTTCCTCCGCTCATACTGCCAGCGACAACAGACGGAGTGGAGCAGATATCTATTCTGGGCCGAATACGCCCAGAATTCGCTGGTCAAACCCGCCACGGGCATCACCCCGTTCCAATGCGTCTTGGGCTTTCAGCCACCGCTATTCCCGTGGTCAGGGGAGCCCACTAACCTACCATCCGTTACAGAGTGGTTGCAGAGAAGCGAGGAGACTTGGAACCAGGCCCACACTCACCTCCTCCACGCCGTTAGACGCCAGGAAGGTCAGGCCAACCGTCGCCGTCGTCCTGGTCCCCAGTACAGTCCCGGAGAGTGGGTCTGGCTCTCCACCAAAGACCTCCGACTTCGACTCCCATGTCGCAAGCTCAGTCCCAGGTATGAGGGTCCATTTCAAATTAAGAAGCAAATTACCCCTGTATCCTTTCGATTAGACCTACCCGCCAACTACCGTATTTCCCCTACATTCCATGTCTCCCTGCTAAAACCTACCGATGGCCCGAGAGGAGCGCGGGAGGAGAGATCCACGTCACAACCTCCCCCCGCCATCCTGGTCGACGGCGAGGAGGCTTACCGTGTGCATGAGCTGCTCGACTCCAGACGCCGGGGCAAGACCCTCCAATATCTGGTGGACTGGGAGGGGTTCGGTCCGGAGGAGCGATCCTGGGCCGACGCTAAGGACATCCTTGGCCCCACACTCACGGAGGAGTTTCATCGCGCACACCCGGAGAAGCCGGCCCCTCGTCCCCGCGGAAGACCTCGGCGCCGCGTATCTCTTCGCGTCAGGAGCCGCTCACAGGGGGGGGGCTCTGTTACGAAGGACGCTCCCGCACCGCCTCCCTCTCGCCATCGGAGGGACCCCTCTCCCGAGTACTAACTGGTTTCGAACTCCATCTCCCATCA